GCTGTACATCGGAGTTGCTTATCTGGAGGCAGGGAATGGCAGTTCGTGCTCCGTATATCTTGAGGTGCAGCACAGAAACTGCCCTTGTTCGACTACATTTTCTAGTGGCTTTACGAGTGTTTGTTCATTGCGTCTTTTGGTGTTCATTGAGGGTGCAGGCATGCCAGAGCTTGATGATTACTCGAGTTGCCTGCTTAGACATCAATTGGATGAAGAATGTATCAAAATGCTACTTAAAGAACCATACCCATCCACGGCTGCATTCCAAGTAGTTCCTTCCACCATGCGGTCGAATGTTAAAATATCCATACGGTAAATCATCATTACGATGTGTTTCTCATAATTCTTTTAAGATTTTCAATAAATTTCTAGAAATAATTGATGCCAACCTAATAATTAAAAGAGGGCGGTTACACACGACACGCGAGGGCATTTTTTTCCCAAGCATCGCAAATTCATGCCAGCTAATCGTCAATAATGGTTTAACCGTCAATATAATTTAGCGTCAATAATAATTTAATCGTTAATATAATTTAATCGTCAATAATAATTTAGCGTACATAATCGCATACTCGATACCTGGCAATTTTGATGTGCCTGCATTTTGTCTGAAGGAAGCTTGGGCCTCTTGTGCTACATGTAATATACTCTGATGGACCGCTGGCGAGGTTTAGTTCAGAGTTGTTCTGTTGAGTTTTGGTCGCATAGTTCAATTAAGTCGCAATTATGATTTATGTTGAGTAAATAAATCCAACAAATATATCGAAATGTTAATGTTTGATCCAATTATTGAACCTACGAATTCAAATGATTTCGTTTGTATTTGTTCTTATTTCGTCGCGAGGATATTTCGAGGATGTTCCAGTGGGCAAAATTTGACCGGTAACTTGTGTAGAGTGTGCAGAACTTGACCGGTAACTTATGTAGAGTGTGCAGAACTTGACCGGTAACTTGTGTAGAGTGTGCAGAACTTGACCGGTAACTAGTGTAGAGTGTGCAGAACTTGACCGGTAACTTGTATGTACGTACACACTGCATCATCTCGTAGCGCTGTCTCACTGGACGTACGTTTGTCTTCATGTCGTGATCTCATTAAACTCACGCAAAATCTTAACTGAAATTCTGAAAAAAGTTTGTCTTCTATTCCTGGAGATTTTCCTTTCTTTATAAGTTTTCTTTAACCCTCGACTCAATGGACGATATTTTTTCATAATAGATACAATGGATGAGTATATGCGACATCACACATTGTTTGTTTCAAAATAATTGTATTTTTTAACGTGTATAGTATACCTAGTAATAATAATATAGCATAGTAATAATATAGTAGTATAGTAATATAATTCACTAAGAATAAAGTTAAGCATTTACATTATATTATTATCATTACTTTTTTAATTGGCGTATGAAAATACTGTTATTAAAATTCATGTCACAAAAAATTCTTTTTACCTCACCATGTAAGCATGTCTAAAGAAATTCTCCTTTTTCAGTTTACATTTATCATGAGTAATCCTAGATAATAGTTGGCGCGTGGTAAATGAGTGTTTTGGGTGAATAGTATACACTTTTTCCTGTTTCGGTCTAATCATTTTTTAAAATATACTCGACTTTACGCTCTGCCGAGTCGTGTGCACTTTGATAGAAGATAGCGCGCTCAGAGCTGAAGAGCGAGCCTGATTTATCTACGTAATAATGTGAGGTTTTCACTCTCGCCTCAGCGGCGGCTCCAATTTTATAAAAGAGATGCATTTGTGTTGATGTTTTCCCAGAAATCCGCTGCTTATTTACTCGGCAAATTCTGCATTAACGTTGGGCGCGCGCATAAAAAAGTTAGTGCTCTGTAATTTTGGTCGAGATAACCTTCATCCTATCCAGCTTGCCATGCGCGTGCAATACCAGTTCTTCTGGAGCTCTGCACTCATCTAAATGAATTTATTATGAGAAGTGTACATTACAAAGCCGTTGAGCTGAATGGGAGTGCCGACTTGTTTGGTTGCCGCTCACTTTACTGCCGGGTGGAAGGTTGGGCTTAGTGTTCCACCCGTGCTCCCGCCGGCACATTAATTATGACGTATCTGCTTCTAGGTACCTACTCTAGTCTTACTGCCTGGTGGATTGTTAGTCTTGTGTTCCTATGTACCGGCACATTAATGACATATCTGCTTCTAGGTACCTACTTGAGTCTTACTGCCTGGTGGATTGTTAGTCTTGTGTTCCCATGTACCGTCACATTAATTATTACGTATCTGCTTCTAGGTACTCTCATCTTACTGCCTGGTGGATTGTTAGTCTTGTGTTCCCATGCACCTTAACATTACTTATGACGTATCTGCTCTAGGTACTGGAGTCTTACTACCTGGTGGATTGTTAGCCTTGTGTTCCCATGCACCGTCACATTACTTATGACGTACCTGCTTCTAGGTACTAGAGTCTTACTACCTTGTGGATTGTTAGTTTTGTGTTCCCATGTACCGTCACATTAATTATTACGTATCTGCTTCTAGGTACTGGAGTCTTACTGCCTGGTGGATTGTTGGTCTTGTGTTCCTATGCACCTTAACATTACTTATGACGTATCTGCTTCTAGGTACTCCCATCTTCCTGCCTGGTGGGAGATTATGCATGTGTTTTGCTCATGCCCCTGCCCAAAGGTTACTGACAACACATACATATAGGTACTCTATACATGAGGTATAGTAACGAGTTGGTAAATAACTTGTTATAACACACATGTCCTGAGGTGGCCTGGCTGTGTAGCGTCCTCTTGAGCCCTCAATACGCACACGCGCTACGTGCATTAGTGCGTAGTGCGCTTTAACAAGGTGTGAGGTTCTAGGTTCACCCCGTCAAGGTGTGAGGTTCTAGGTTCACCCTGTCAAGTTGTGCTGTTCTAGGTTCACCCCGTCAAGTTGTGCGGTTCTAGGTTCACCCCGTCAAGGTGTTCGGTTCTAGGTTCACCCCGTCAAGTTGTGCGGTTCTAGGTTCACCCCGTCAAGGTGTTCGGTTATAGGTTCACCCCGTCAAGTTCGGTTCTAGGTTCACCCCGTCAAGTTGTGCGGTTCTAGGTTCACCCCGTCAAGTTGTTCGGTTCTAGGTTCACCCCGTCAAGTTGTTCGGTTCTAGGTTCACACCGTCAAGNACGTAAGTACTTACGCTCTATTTTCTTGTCTATGATTGGTGGATTTTGCATGAAAGGCCGTCAATGATTGGCTGATGAACTTACGATCTCTTAACTTTTTTTGAAAGTATAGGCCCAGGAACTTTGATTGAGAAGTTGAGCCGAGGCTGACACGATTTACGGCTGGATGGCTGCCGGGGGGATCGGCACGAGCGCGTGATTGAGGCCGCAGACTGTCATGCTGATAAATCTTACTGATGACCGTCCTCGCTCTGATGGAAACTCTTGTCAAATCTTGAGATGTTCTTCTGTGTGTTGCAAGTTAGTATCCGGAAATATTTTCCTGGGTGGGCTTCATGAACGTCTCCTGTGTAGCGTGAACTATCCGCTCTCTCTGTCCTGAGAGCAGCGCTCTGGCATTTCTGCGTATCTTATGTACCCGCAATGTAGAAAAATAATTTTATGTCCGCGTGCCTTGAAAAACAATTTTCAGAATTCTGGCTGCGATGTGTTACATGTTTTTGTTGTTCTTCTTATTATGTTTCTATATTTCACCGTTAAATTGAACGAACTTGAAGATTATTTCACTATAACTTTTGTTTCCTTATTTTTTATCATGTATGTCTGTTTTGTTCATGACGTAGTTTCCTTTGTTTCTGCGCCCAATATTTACATGGTATTTTCGGGGATGCGGTGTTAGTTCTAGTGATGATTGTCTCGTCGATGTGAAATTATCTCACTAAAAGAGATTAAGCGTCTTGACGCAACAAAATTGTAAAATGACCGTCTGTGGACCAAAATTAAATGTCTAAATATTTACAAAAACTTGCCACTTTAAAATATTTGGACTCGTCCTCAGAGTAGGACGCAATGTGACCCATTGGCACACACACGAGTATTGGCTTTTAGCATCGAAGTTGCCATCACATTTGTTGTCCATACTTAGCTTTAGATTTACACACATTCATGGTGTTCTCAAACTGTACGCATAACTTTATAATATTGGATGTCTCATCGGCCGACACTGCAGGTGCAGTTTTAACTCTGAGGTGCCGCTTGCTATCAGATGCATAAGTAATTACTAGGGCCCCAACCAGGCTGCTATTATCTCTGGTGATTCTTATCAGTAGTAATTCATTAGGAGATGCTGACGGCTCCCCTACCTGAGTGCCCGTGCTTTTTTTTTTTTGTTCTTTGGGGGCCAGTTTGTGCCCGACATGTTTGATTTAATAATTATTTTCTGCCTATACTCGAAGCTTTCAATACTAAGTCAAATTCTGGCTTGTTGGATCGAAATTTCTGATATATTTCCTTTTACTTGCTTTTTTTGTTCTTTGGGGTCCAGTCTGTGCACAACATGTTTGATTGAATAATTATTTTCTGCCTATACTCGAAGCTATCAATAATAAAGTCAAATTCTGGTTTGTTGGATCGAAATTTCTGTTATATTTCCTTCTATGTCATGGAAACTACTGCTGCAATCGTTTGTATACGTCTTTTTGTTATTTTATGCTGTTAAGTAAAAGTTACATCAGCTTGAATAGTTTTATACTGATAATTCATTATAGTTTGAATGTGATCATCATTGTTTTGCATCATCAACTTGGTGAGCGACGTATGTATTCACTAATTAAAAACGAGCGTTGCGGGAGAACTGATCGTGAAGTGCGCAGAATATGAACGGCTGGGGAGGTTGGGGAGGTCCAGTTGTTGTAGTGCCCAGGTGTGTTGGCAGTGCCCAGGTGTGTTGGCAGTGTCCAGGTGTGTTGGCAGTGCCCAGGTGTGGGAGGCTGCGTGTGTTGTAGGAGCTGAAGGACTCTAGGAGCAGCAGCAGCAGTCGAGGCCAGTCGCGTCCTACGCGCTCAGTTGACGTGTTGCTGTGGTCGAGCGAGCGCCGTGTCTCAGCTGCTCGACCGTGTGCTGGGTGCCCCCTTTCCTCTTCCCCTCTAACGCTATCATGGCTCATATTAGCCCACATCTTTGATTAAATCTAGTGACTCGAAATGTTTTGGAAGAATAATTAGAAATCCGCGATCAATTTCTCTTTCTGCTGCTTTTTTTGTTGATATTTTAAGTGCTTGACTAGAAAGATAAATATATTGAGTTGTGCTCTATAAGCGAACCTCCTAACTAGGCGGCTCATTGATCTCTTCGTAATGCCAGGAGCGTTCGATTTTTTTGGTAGGTTTGAAACTTCTCTGCGCACCTACAATAAAGATGCTCGTCCCTTGCCCGAGTGTCCACACGGCGTGCACAGCCCCGAGGAGTGTGGCTGTGATCGCCACCACGAATGCAAGAAACCGCACTGCGCTAACGACATCCCTCTTGATCCTCTATGCAAACTATCACAAGGAACACCTTTCGGTGTGCCGGTGTCTATGTGGGGCTACCACAAATGCTTCTCTGGAGGATGTGATTCAACGGATACCATCAGAGGTCCCAGTGCGATATCTGGTGAGGTTACCGAGAGACTTTATTCTACGCCAACCCGATCATTTACCGCTAAACTTCGATCGGGATCTGTCTCTGTGCGGTCTGTTTCTACAGTAGCTCATGACGACCTGGGAGAGACGTCGGACGATAGTAGCGGCGCTTGCCTTACGGAAAAAAGTTTGGAGGAGTCCACTGGCTCGCCCTCCAGTTCACTTGACTGCAAGGATGGCACCAACTTCGTATCACACATCATCACTGCCAATCCACCAGGTAACCACAATCAGAGCAGGAATGATGGCATCTCTCTGTCTCCGTCTAGGCGCTCTGTTAGTGCCAGAGGCCGGAGGACAGTATTTCACCAAAGAACTTCGGAAGCGAACAACACCTGCAGGCGCTCTCAGTCATCGTGCGCAGCTCCGAGTATGAAGCCCAGGCTTGGCTTTGATCGCAACGGCGGCCGTTTAAACGAAAGCGACGTTACAACTTCAAGTGAACCTCCCTCATCTCCTGACGCTTCCCCTGCTACCACTCCTGCTTTGACTCCGCGTCAACTGCTCTCACCCAAAAACAATGTTTCTTCTGCACAAACCAGACCAGTTGGGTCTACTCCTAGAGCCGCTGTAATTAGGCCTTCAGCTGTGTTTGCCGGTGGTCGATACAAAGTTAAACCTGTTCCTTTGAACAAAAGTGCCAGTGATGGCGTCGAGCGGCTTAGGGGGTCATTTCGTCGCGGAAAATGTGACGGCGTTGTGAACGCTAAAAATGAAACTGCTCCGGCCACTGTCCCGTTGAAAGACAGACAAGTTATAGTGGATCCATTTCTAAGATCTCATTTAGCAAGATTTTCATCGGACTCTCGAGTGGATGAGTTATTGACTCAGGCGCACATGGTGTTGGAGACCCTGACTCCCGAGCAAGACGCTAGTGTTCGCTCGCACAGATCTCCCGATGTACCGGGGTCTCCTGTGCTTCAGCCCGTCCGCAAGATGAGCGGGGAGAGTTACAAAGATCTCGCCAGCATCATTTGCAAGAAGATGGAGGAAATGACGCTAGCCCTGGTAAGTGGTGCCGCTGCTGGACAAGCTTATTGACGGGGAATTTTTTATGGCTCATCGGAGTGTTNTGACGCTAGCCCTGGTAAGTGGTGCCGCTGCTGGACAAGCTAATTGACGGGGAATTTTTTATGGCTCATCGGAGTGTTTTGCGTTGGCCAATCGCCTCCCGGCTCGTAAACTTGATTCTACTATATCGTCTATCCACGTAATTTAAAGTTTGAGGTTAATTGTGCTTTAAAGTATGATGGTATTTCTTCACGCAGACTGGACGATAGCTACCATATCATATTGAAAGGACTGATACTGGTCACTATCTATCCATCGACTTAAGTGTATCTGAAATGCAACGTGTCAAAATATTTTTTCATCTGTCTATTGAGTACTAAGATCATTATATTCTGCTCAAATAGCAACAATATGAATTTAAAAGCAAAGATAACACCTAAAACTTGGCTGTTGAGAACATTGTAACTTCTTCTGAAAAATGTGAATTTACTTGACTGATGTGTCAATACTAATGGTCAATTAAATTCACATCTTCATGTAAAATGTATGGAAGACCAGCTCTATCATCAGGCCCAAAATTCAGAGAATACTAGTACAATCAGTGGAGAAAAGCCAAACTCTTTAGTGACTATTTATTTATGGGCTGCATTGCAGAGCTAGTAATGGAGCACATTTTATTGTTGTTTGACCTCTTAAGACGCCTCTTCAGTAGCCACGATTCTCGGACAACTGCAGGGGCCATACTTTCAAAACTCGCTAAGTAAACTTGAGTACTGACGCTCTATTTTCATGTCTATGATTGGTGGATTTCGCTTGAAAGGCCGTCAATGATTGGCTGATGAACTTACGATCTCTTAACTTTTTTTGAAAGTATAGGCCCAGGTCTGCGAGTCGTTTGATTATTATCACAGTTTACGATGGACTTGTGGGAGGGCGTTAGCGTTCGGAATTATCTATTGTCCCGAGAACTACTGCAGTTTATTTGTCCCATATAAACCCAAAACTCCAGTTCTGACTCGTGTATATTTAAATTTAAAGACAACAGTGATGGTGTTATTGGTCCTTATGATGGTGTTAGTGGAGTTTTTATGCGAATTCAATAGATCTAATTCATTTTAATAACTTTTTAATTGAATTAAATCACGCAAATTCTTATCAGGTCGAATTTAATGTGGTATAGCAATGAGCTGGTTATTGCAATCATTTCTGCATACATTATATTTAAATTTAATTTAAGTGGATTGCCACAATTGTTTCCTTCTTTATCATAGTCAATTGTAATATGATGCGTTTCGAACTCGTTGTCATGTTGTAATAATCTATTTAGAACCACTAATAATTTGTATCGTCACCTTCTGGTATGTTTTACTTCAAAGTTATGAAAATTTGAATGAGAAAAAATTGTCAAATCATCCCTACTTTTATTCTGTTAATTTAACATACAGATTCATTCTAAAGTTACATATTCGCATTATCACTAATCCAAAAATTTGTTGTGCGAATCAAGAAATTCCAGCCTCAGGATTTGAAATGTTTTTACACCGTGAACGAAAGAATCATCCCAACTTTTATTCTGTTAATTTAACATACTGATCCATACTAAAGTTACATATTCGTATTTTCACTAATCAAAAAATTTGTTACACGAATAGATCTAAACTGTTTTTACGCAGTGAACAAAAGAGCCATATAAGAGCATGCCATATCGCTGAGCCCCCCCGGCTTGGCTGAGCCCAGCGATATGGCAGGGTTTGCGGCAATTGACCCACGGTGTTGACGCAGTGTAGTTCCTAGGCTCCGATGTAGTTTTTCCGTAGCTCAAATGGCCATCAGGGCCAGCGTTTGACCCGTCAGGAAGACGTCCGCGTTTCTCCTCTCAATGAGTCTATACTTGGACGCAGAAGCCGAGGTCGAAGCCTGACCATTTGCTCCAAATAAGGAAGCTGCAGTCATTTGTCTCGCCTCTGCCGTAGTGCCGCGCTCGTGCGCACGACACTTCAGGGGCCATACTTTCAAAACTAGCTAAGTGAACGTAAGTATTTACGCTCTATTTTATTGTCTATGATTGATGGATTTGGCTTGAAAGGCCGTCAATGATTGGCTGATGAACTTACGATCTCTTAACTTTTTTTGAAAGTATTGGCCCAGCTCTTTACGTTGCTTTGGGTGGTATGCGCCAGATTTACGTATCTTTACGTGTTTATTGCTCCTGTTTTGCTGATGAGCATCCAACTCGAGCCATTTAGATTTCGAGTAAATCATGCTTGCTTGCTGTCGCAACACAAAGTAACAATTCCATTTCAACCTATTCAGATTGCCTCAGATGGAAATTTCAAGCATACTTTGTACTATTCTATTTCTTAGAACTGAATGCTTTCCAGTTTTATTTATTCTTAACTAAATGTAATTCTAAGCTGCAAATCGAGAAAGCAATTAATTCACTCACCTGCCGACCGCTAAAGCGATTGTTGTCTTGCACGGTCGCTGGGTCACAGGGTACGAAGGTCTGCCGTGACTAAGAATGTGTAGCCTCGTCTACATTTGTCTCGTGATGGCGCACTGGAATGCCCCGAGTGGTTTCCGAGCCGTCATTCTATACGATGCTATCCAAAGCCTTAGCATTGTGCGTCTGTTTAATTCCTCCTTTGGCACCCTAACGCAGTCAATATATCAAAGGCTCCCGTGTTTATTTTTTCAAAAGTATCGTTACCTCTGGAAACAATTTCGGTGTCAGACTTGGTGTTTAGTCTGAAAGATTTCTACCCATGCATGTGGTCAAAATCTTGTGCGGTATGTAGCCTGCACACATGCACAGCCAGTGTTATGCGCCCACGATGCTCTGTGTTTGCTCTCTCTGACTTGCCTATAATGAGTGATCATTACCTTAGTTGAATCTTACGTTCTTGTCGACATTTTGCGACAAGCAATGTTGTCTATTTGTATGTCGAACGAGCATTTTGCCTTAAATGTAGCCAATAATAATAAGATTTCACCTTGAATAAGGTTCCTCATGAGCGCGGGGCATGCGCGATGTGTTGCAATATACTTGCTATGTGGTATCACTTTCATTGTTTGTTAACTAATATATTGTAATCGGATGCCCGGTGTCCGACGAGCGTGAAGAGCGTGGCGCTGTCATGCAGTAACCCGAGGCGTTATATCGAACCTTGTGCCTCCCTCCTGAGCTGGAGCTCAAGCCTGATGTTTCATCACCTGCCGTTAAATTACTCAGGAAATTCCTCGTGCTCATTCAAGTATAATGTTAAGAAATAGTGGCGTGTCTAATGCAAAGTTTTTAATGCTTTGACTCTTTCTGAGAATATGTGTACCGTTCACACGTGAATTCTAACACCTAGGCTCTTATTTTGCAGTTAGTTTTCTCTAGGAGTTTTTTTAAGGGGGGGATTAGTTGTAACGCGCATATTTGCGAAACATGTGGTCTCGCATTATACTTCATCACTGTCACGAAGCTTTTTTTTACTCGTGAACATCATTTCCATGGACAAGGCGCTTTCCCTTCACTCAGTTATGTTTTGTGGATAAACTTTTCCCCTTAATTGGCGTGTTTCTACTTGAGCAACGCATTTCATTTGGTTGACCAGGCCGTGCCAGTGATCTCATCCTTATACTCACTGGCCATCAATCCAGTCATGACTGTAGGGACCGAGCTCTAGTGATGGTAATCCATTACCTTAACGGGGGGAGCTAGTGTTTAGCAAGGAGCTGTCGCATTACCATGACCATAACGGACCTGTCACTGGGCTGTGGCGTTCACACTAGCCTTTTATTGTTGTTACCAGCCTTGCCGTATTGTTGCCACGAGCCTTTTATTGTTGCCACCAGTCTTGCCGTATTGTTGCCACGAGCTTTTTATTGTTGCCACAGGCCTTGCCGTATTGTTGCCACCAGCTTTTTATTGTTGCCACAGGCCTTGCCGTATTGTTGCCACAAGCCTTTTATTGTTGTTACCAGCCTTGCCGTATTGTTGCCACAAGCCTTTTATTGTTGCCACCAGCCTTGTCGTATTGTTGCCACAAGCTTTTTATTGTTGCCACCAGGCCTTGCCGTATTGTTGCCACGAGCCTTTTATTGTTGCCACATGCCTTGCCGTATTGTTGCCACAAGGCTTGTATAGTTGCCTGACAATATGAGAGTGGCAAGTCGTGGAATGTGGCTAGACGTAATCCCTGCCAGACTGTTGACCGTGTGCATGCCTCTGGGGCGACATGCCGAGTGTTTTTTGCTTCTGTTGTCGAGTGTTTCTCCTGAAACGTTATAGTCGGCGGGTGAATTTCATACAACCCAGGAAAATAAAAAGTTTTATATTAATCAGCTTATTTTGTTGCTTGCTTCTGTTTTTCTTCGTTGTAACTCGAGCCTCAAAGTCGTGTCTCCGTCATCGATTATAATCACGTTAATTTTTTAGGGGTTGAAAATTTGCATCAGGTACTCCGTACGATCGTATATTTCTCATTATTTTTTAAGTAATACTTCAGGAATCCTGTTGATTTATTTATTAATTGTCTTCCAATTTTAAGATGAGTGATCGATATCTGAGGACAAATTTGGTTTTAGCAACCCCCGAGTCTCCACTCGATGTTGAAGGGCTTCCGTTCAGACATAGGGTCTGGCGGTTCAAACCCCCGCTGCCGTTTTTTCTTGATCAGGTTTATGTGCCAAATAAGGCGAGTGTTTGGCCAAAATATGTGGAGCAGAACGAGCGCGAGATCAGCGCCGGTCCATCTCTCGCTGCGATCCTTAATGACCTTCTTCAATTTTTGCAGTTCGTTGAGACAGACTTGCTGGAACGTGTGTCCATCGTCTCTATAGATGATCCAATAGACTTACTGGAACGTGTGTCCATCGTCTCTATAGATGATCCAATTAATATCGTCATTCTGGAAAGCGATAGAATTGACAGACGAACGCGATAGTCTAAGATGGACGTTCTTACATCCGAAAACGGCCTTTGGTAACGACACAATACTTTTAATTTC